GTATTCCTTAAAAAGAGGAAGAAGAGAAAGGTAAAGATTAAAATTATGATCAGCAAATACATATCTATCAACAAGTGAATCTAAAAACCAAGTGAATAAAAAATCTAATGAACAGAGTAAACTGGTGAATATAATAGAACCAGGGGCATAGAAAGGGAGTGGACTGACAATTCTTGGGGGCAAAGGGGTGTCGGGGTGCAGGAAGAGACTGGACAAAAATTGTATACCTATGGATGAGGACAGTGGGAGGGGTAAGGGCAGAGGGTGGGGAGGGAACTGGGTGGAGGAGAGCTATGGGGGGGAAAAAAGAGGAACAACTGTAATAATCTGAACAATAAAGATTTAATTTTTAAAAAAAAGAAAGAATCATAGTAGCACAGACCATAGGGTGGTGAGGGGATGGAGGTGGGGCTTGGGGTAAATGAGGGGGAAAAGGAGGACCTATGTAATACTTTCAGCCATAAAGATTAAAATTAAAAAATAAAATAAAAGAAGAGGCACCCGCTAAGTTCCTGATGGATAAGATACCATTGCTTTCAAATGGTTCAGAAAAAAAATACAAATAAAATGAAAATATATTTTATCAATTCGTAAAAATAAATGAAGGTTCTGAAGCTGTTAAAAAAAAATAGGTCATTAAAAATTCCAAATTAAAACACAAAGAAAAACTAATGAAGCATACAGAAAAGAACATCCAAAAACTATGGACAATATCAAATTTTCTAACACATGTGTAATTAGAATCCCAGAGAGAGAAAAGAGCCCAGCCCATGTGGCTCCATGGCTGAACATCGACCTATGAGCCAGGAGCTCACAGTGCGATTCTCGGTCAGGGCACATGCCCGGGTTTCGGGTAGAAGGTGTGCAGTAGGCAGCTGATCAATGATTCTTGCTCATCATTGATGTTTCTCTCTCTCCCTCTCTTTTCCTCTCTCTGAAATCAATAAAAACTTATTTTTAAAAATTTTCTAAAAATAGTGGTGATGGTTGCACAACTTTAAATATACAAAAAAATCAGACTTGCATAATTTTAAAAAGTGAATTATATCACTTTTATAATCAATAAAGCTACTAATTTTAAAAAACTCTATGAAGGCCCTGTCCAGGTAGCTCAATTGGTTAGGGAATCATCCTGGCACACCAAGGTTGTAGGTTCAATCCTCTGTCAGGGCATATACAGGAGTCAACTAATGAATGCATAAATAAATGAAACAACAAATTAATGTTTCTCTCTCAAAATCAATAAAACACTATGAGAGAAGAAAAAAATGCCCTTCTTTAGATTAGTCCTCTGAATCTTTCTAAATATTTACTGTGAGTGCTGCTGCTGATACCTTTTCTGTTTTGATTTGGGGAAAGTAGATGAAGTATGGCTGCCTGTGGCTTGTGTTCTGACATCGCTGCCACTCATAGAATCCATCTGCTAGAACAACACAGCGTCTTCCCTTTCCCAGAGGCACCTGAGGGAAAATGTGAACAAGATACGGTCTTAGTGATAGAATCACGTTTCATGGACTTGAGTTAAAATCTTATGTCTGCCTCGCAGTGTGGCTCAGTAGTTGATCATCAACCCAGGAAACAAAGAGGTCACTGGTTCCAATTCCCACTCAGGGCACATACCCAGGTAGCAGACTATATCCCCAGTAGGGGGTGTGCAGGAGGCAGCTGATTAATGATGTCTCTCTCTCATCTCATTTATGTTTCTATCTATCCCTCTCCCTTTTCTCTCTAAAAATAAAAAATTATACATTAAAAAAAATCTTGGGTCTGATTTTTAGCCAGTTTGGCTCAGTGGATAGAATGTTGGCCTGTGAACTGAAGGGTCTGGGGTTCAATTCTGATCAAGGGCATATGCCCGGGTTGCAGGCTCGATCTGCAGTAGGGGGCATGCAGGAGGCAGCCAAGCAATGACTCTCACTCATCACCGATGTTTCTATCTCTCTCTCCCTTTCTCTTCCTCTCTGAAATCAATAAAAATATATTTAAAAATAATAATCGCCCTAGCTGTTTTTACTCAGTAGATAGAGCATCTGCCTGTGGACTGAGCGGTCCCAGGTTCAATTCCGGCCAAGGGCACATGACTGGGCTGTGGGCTCGATCCCCAGTGGGGGACATGCAGGAGGCAGCTGATCAATGATTCTTTCTCATCATTGATGTTTCTGTCTTTCTCTCCCTCTCCCTTCCTCTCTGAAATCAATAAAAATATATTTAATAAAAATAAAAAAATAATGTTGGATCTGCCAGTGTGTGATCTTAGAGTAGTTATTTCTCTGTGCCTCAGTTTTCACATGTATAAAGTCACCGTCACACAGATGTTGAAAAGATTAAATGTACACAACAGCAATAGCTCTCTAACAAATAGGCACTTGTGGTAGCTGGTCTCCAAAGTTGGTTCCCCAATGAACCAATCATCCCAGTATTCATCTCCCATGTAGTTCCCTCCCACACTGATTTTGGGCTGAGCCAATAGCATGCCATAGAAATGATGCTATATGACTTCCATGGCTAGGTCACAAAATCCTGCAGGTCCTGCCCTACTGTCTTGAATCATGAGCTTTGGTAAGCCAGAAGCCATGTAAAAAGCCTGACTACCCTGACAATCCCAGCTGTGCACCTGGAAAGGCTTTCACTTACTCTACCCACGCCATCTGGGATGTCAGACATATGGATAAAGAAGCTATCTTAGCCCTAACCAGTTTGGCTTAGTGGATAGAGTGTCGGCCTGCAGACTGAAGGGTCCCAGATTCGATTCTAGTCAAGGGTATGTACCTTGGTTGCGGGCACATTCCCAGTAGGGAGTGTGCAGGAGGCAGCTGATCGATGTTTCTCTCTCATTGATGTTTCTAACTCTATTCCTCTACCTCTCCCTTCCTCTCTGTAAAAAAATCAACTAAAAAAAAAATATATATATATATATAAAGCCATCTTAGCCCTAGCTGATTTGTTTGGCTCAGTGGATAGAGCATTGGCCTGTGGACTGAAGGGTCCCAGGTTCGATTCCCAGTTGGGAGCACATGCCTGGGTTGCAGGCTCAATCCCAAGTGGGGGACATGCAGGAGGCGCCCATCCATGATTCTCTCTCATCACTGATGTTTCTCTCTCTCTCCCTCTCCCTTCCTTTCTGAAAAAATAAAAAAAGAAACTATCTTAGACATCCAGCCCCAGCTGTCATCTGATTATAACTACACAAGTGAAAACTGTCTACTTGAGCACAGTCAACCCACAAAATATAAGAAATAATATAGTTGATTTGTTAAACCACCAAGCTTTGGCATGGTTTATTACACAGTAATAAATAAAACAGCAGTCAACACTTCGGGACCTTAAGAGCGGGACCTAAGAAAACCTTATTTTACTTTTCAGGTACCTAAGGCTCTAATAGCTCTGTTCATAAACAGTACCTTTCCCTAGATGAGCTACCAACCTTGAAGGACCGTTTCTCCATTATGGTATCACTACGGCAGTTGCTCGTGTTGAACTGCAGTTTGGAAGGATCATCTTCTTTGAACCAAGATGGGACCAAGCCCCATCGCATAGGAGCAATGATACGCTCAGATGAGTCTGCACCCTGCCAAAGGTTAATATGACCCAGTGAGGAGAACATAATAAAATTTTAAAAACCAAGTTTAGCATATGCATTACATTACTATTAGTATCAAAACACAAATAATAGAGAAAAGATTATTAAAAAGGAAAGATTCTACTTGAAAACAATTTTAGTAATTTATCATGATGTAACTTGTGTTCTTTAGCAATTATATTTATGGGAATGTAAGACATTCTGCTTGGGTAGAATAGGGGATATAAAGAGATTCTGTTCCTACAAACATTTAATTAGTGTCTATTAAGGAATGTGCTTAGTTTTTCCCCTTACAAGAAGAGAACATAAGGAAGTATGTACACAAAATTTTCCAGATTTCTACTTGTGTTTTTTTTCCCTTTACTGATTCTATTGTGTATCTTTTCACTGTTATAAAGCTTAGCCCCTATATGCCTTATATGTTGAGTCCCTCTAAAATTTCCCAAATGTGGGGGCAGTTTTGGCCCCCAACACATGGTTGTTATACTTTTTTTGGCATTTGGCCCTGGAGAATTTGATAAAATTTACAGATTAAAGTGCACATACACACTATTCTGCATAGCATAGTACGCATGGAAGAAACCAATGGTAGAGAGTACATTTTTGGTGCTACTACAATAGTCCAGGGATCTGATAATGATACAGTAGCTCTGGTGACAGTAGTGAAAATAAAAGACATTTAAAAGATAGAAAAATGAAACTGCAGTGCAACTGGAAAAATAAAACAGGGATGATTATGTTTTCAGTCCCTGACAACTGAAATAATGATGCCACTATTGAACAAAAATTCTGAAGGGTTTGAGTTGGGGAAAGGTCACATGTTGAGTTTCTGATTGTAGCGGCAAGTCTAGACATGGCAATTTAAATAAGTGGTTGAAAAATCTTTCCCATTTCCCCCTTTGAGAGCTGGAGTCTATGTTCCCTTCCCTTGAATCTGAATGGGCTGTGACTCGCAGGATGTGGCACAAGTAACACTATGATTTCTAAGGTTAAGTCAGGAAGTCAGCTTCCTGCTTATTTGCTGAGACATTGCTTTTGGAACTCTGAGCTGCCATGTTGTGAAAAAGCCCAGGCTGTGTGGAGAGATCACATGTAGGTACTCTGGCTACCAGCACAGGTTAACAGCCACAGGTTATCAACTGCCAGATAAGTGAAGATGCCCCTAGATCAGAAGTTTGCAAATTTTTTTTAAATAAAAGGCCAGATATTAAATACTTGTCAGACTAGAGAGTCTCTGTTGCAACTATAACTGCTGTTATAGGGACAAAGCATTCATAGACAATCTAGAATAATAAAAGCATAATATGCTAATTAGACTGGACAGCTGAACATCTGGACGAAGCTTCGGCAGCAGGGGCCAAGGTAGAGGCGGTTAGGGGCGATCGGGCAGGCAGGCAGGTGAGTGGATAGGAGCCAGCGGTCCTGGATTGAGAGAGGGTGCAGGCCGGGCTGAGGACCCCTCCCCTGACACACACACACACACATTAATTTCGTGCACCGGGCCTCTAGTAGGTAACTAAATGGATATTGCTGTATTCCATATAATTTTATTACAAAAATGGTCAGAGGGCTTTAGTTTTCTAACTCCTGCTCTAGATGATTCTAGCCCCAGATGACAAGTCTTTTCAGGTGAGACCCCAGACTTCAGGGAAGTAACAAACAATATCTGCAATGCTTTGTCTTAATTTCTCACTAGTGAACATAATAAAGGTTATTTTGGCCCTGGCCAGGTAGCTTAGAGTGTTATCCTTTTAAAAAATATATATATATTTTATTGATTTTTTACAGAGAAGAAGGGAGAGAGATAGAGAGTTAGAAACATCGATGAGAGAGAAACATCGATCAGCCGCCTCCTGCACACCCCCTACTGGGGATGTGCCCACAACCCAGGTACATGCCCTCAACCGGAATCGAACCTGGGACCTTTCAGTCCGCAGGCCGACGCTCTATCCACTGAGCCAAACCGGTTTTGGCTAGAGTGTTATCCTGATAAGCCGAGGTTCAATCCCCAAGTCAGGGCACACATAAGAAGCAACCAATAAATGTACAAGTGGAACAACAAAGGGATGTTTCTCTCTCTCTCAAATCAATTTTTAAAAATAATTAAGGATTATTTTAAGTCACTAGAATAAGATCCAAATAGAGCCGTTTACTATGTCCAAAAAGCATGTAGAATTAAACTTAGGAGAGAGGCAGCATGATAGAGAAAATGGGTCACCAAACTTTTTCTGTAATGGGCTAGATAGTAAATAATTTTGGCTTTGTGAGTTCATATAGTCTGTTGCAATGACTCAAGCAACTAAACTCTGCCACCACTGGTAGTGAGAAAACAGCCAAAGAACAAATGAATGAGCTTGGATCTGTTCTAATAAAACGTTATTTGCAAAAACAGATAGTGAGCCAGATTTGGTCTGAGGACCATAGTTTGCCAACCTCTGGCACAGAGGAAAAAATAAGGCCTTTGTAAGACTCGTATAAAAAAATTCCTGCTATTTACGAAGTTGGACTAGTTTCAATTTCCTGGACCCTCAACTTTCCTTTTCTGTCAAAATAGAGTGAACAATACCTGCCTTGGAGAATCATTAAAATGTGTGGCACGGAATACACATACAAATTGCAATTGAGTATTTTTTTAGGTTAGAATTATAAAGGTGACTTAAAGCCATTAGGATGAAGTTTCTAAGGGAGTAAATCAAGCACGGGGTTTAACCTAGAGGTACAAAAAGAGAACTGAGGGGAAAGTAGAGTCCAAGAAAAAGTACCTAGAGAGAAAAAAGTTAGAATGAGAAAAGTCAAGAAAGGAATCATCGCAGAAACCGGTTTGGCTCAGTGGATAGAGCATCGGCCTGCGGACTGAAGGGTCCCAGGTTCGATTCTGGTCAAGGGCATGTACCTGGGTTGTGGGCACATCCCCAGTGGGGGATGTGCAGGAGGCGGCTGATCGATGTCTCTCTCTCATCGATGTTTCTGACTATCTCTCTCCCTTTCTCTCTGTAAAAAATCAATAAAATATATTAAAAAAAAAAAGAAAGGAATCATCATCATCAGTAGTGGTGTCTCAAGAAGAGCTTCCCTTTTAATTAAAGCTAATCCTTCCACTGTGCTCTTGGTAAGATCCTGTCCTGTTTCTTTCAAAATCTTGTCTGAATAGTCAATCCCCTTTCTATACACATACTCCAGGCTCATTATTCACGACAGGTTCTACATCTACAACATTGCTGCAAACACTGAATTAGCAAATACTGATCTGCTGCTCTTAGGGGAAATGCAGGGCTTGTTTCCCATGAGCCAATGGTGACAACATTTTCATCAACTGATTAATATGTCACCTTGTCTAATGTGTATTTCTGTTTAAAGACACTATTTCATATATTACTGATCTATTAATGTTGAATTCATGACTAACAGCACAGTAAATTATGCTGGAATGAAGCTTATCTAACACATGTATTTTCTCTGAAAGGCATATTACAACCTTCCTACACTTGGGAATACTAGCCAGCAAGCACTCCAGGACTATGCTTGGGAACAGTTTTTAAACAGTGAAATCACAAATGCATAAAACATAACACTAAATGGACTGCAAAAAGGACACTTGTTTATAGTGTAAGAGCTGAAACAAGAAGATAGAGCTACACACACACACACACACACACACACACACACACACATACACACACACAAAGGTAGAGCTTCATTTTTGTTTGTTTTTTAAGAGCTTTGTCTTATTCAATTAGGTGACTCAAATGTTCAACACCTGTATTGTCCATGAATGACAAATATACCCATGTTTAAAAGTAACATAGTATATTTGGAGGTTTACAAATACATTTTAGCAAGTAGGCAAATTTGCAAACACAGAATTTATAAATGAGAATCAATTGTGTGTGTGTTTTCCTCCCTTAAAGACAGAGGCAACCTAGGTAAATTGTGTGGACCCTGAGAAAGAAAATATCTACTAAGAAAGGCTCCCAGTGGCTGAGTTCAAATTTAAAAAACAGAGCCTAGTAGCCACTTCTATACAGGGGCCTTTCACACAAACTTCACTTGAGGGAGAAGCCCACACTAAGCTGCCTGCCTGCGCTGTGTTTCGCCACCTGAGCCAATCCTCGTGGAGGACCTGGAGCCTCGGCCTTCGGACTGAAGGGTCCCAGATTCAATTCCAGTCAAGGGCACATGCCCAGATTGCAGGCTTGATCCCCAAATAGGGGGAGTGCAAGAGAAAGCCAATTAACGATTCTCTCTCATCATTGATGTTTCTATCTCTCTCCCTCTCCCTTCCTCTATGAATTCAATAAAAAATATATTTTTTTAAAAAAGGAGTACGGATGGAAAACGACCCCAGGCCCAAGCTAAGTGAGTACATCTCGCGTACGTACTTCCCGCACGCTCGCATCTAACGGGTGGGCCAGATTTATTTAGCTGCCACACTTAACCAAAGAATGGATACGCACTGACTACAACTCATCTCAAAATGCTGCTTTTGAACATTTCGTTTTGTTTATTTTAAAATATGTTTTTATTGATTTTAGAGAGCGATTCCTGATGAGGGCACATGCCTGGGTTTCAGGCTCAGTCCCCAGTAGGGGCTGTGCAGGAGGCAGCGGATCGATATTTCTCTCTCATCAATGTTCCTACTCTCTATTCCTCTCCCTTCCTCTCTGTAAAAAATCAATAAAATATATATTTTTTAAAAAGGAATACCTGGAATCCTATTTTCAACCAAATAGACTGAGGATTTCCCCGTCCAATCAGCGCTGTGCAACTATATCCAGCTTCTTCATCCACCAATCAAAGCAGTTCCATTTTAACCAATCAGGACTGTCTCTTTTGGACCAACTGAACTGTGAAGATTTGGCATCCTCATTTGCATGAGGGCAGATCAATCAGGGACCAGTAGCGGGACTTCTTGTCTACTTAACCCATTGTATGCAATAAGCGCCTGCAGACTCAAGCGGTGGCCCTTCCCCACAAGCCATGCACGTCTATTAAAAAAAAAAAAGTTTTCCCTAAGTGGTAGCCCT